CAAAACTTCTAAACGAACTCAGACTTTTAAACAAGCGCGATACGTCAAAATCATTCAGAAGCAATAAAGAACAAGACTAGAGTAAAACTGAAAAGAAGCAGTAAAATTAAAATAAAAGCAAATTCAGGTTCAGAACATTACAAAAATAAATTCTAAGGCCACAGACGGCCCGATCATAAACTAAGTTTTAAACAAGAAGAAAAAAAAAAGAGGGAGAGAAAGTGAAAACATGCGAGCTTATTGAGAAGCACTTCTGGAGGCACCGAAGAGAGGAGCGAGGGGTTCACCAGTCGCTGGATCGACTTCAGTGTTAATGACTGCGTTTCCCTCACGATCATCCAAAACCGAGTCATCTACTGGACTCAAGGTCGGGGATTCAGGAGAGCTCGGAGAGTCAGGCACCCACCGCTCTACGGGCATCCTTTCAGCCTCCGGGGTCACTTGAAAGTCGGCCTCGCTGATCTCCATAACGTCCATGGCGTCGAGCTCTTTGGTGAGGGACGTAATGTCTGACTCAACCAGCTCTATCTTATGAGAAGGAATAGCCACCCCTTCCTTCATCAGACCCTCGTAGATATCCAGGACATAGATTGCCTGACCCAGAAGCGTTTTCTTTTTGTTAACAGCTTCCGTCTTCTGGCAATGCTGCTTCAGCTTCCCGAGCTTAGTCTCCATCCTCGTCAGCATCCTCTCCTCGGTACGCCTCCTCTCGTTCTCAATCTCGACAGCACGGGAGTCTCTCAGCCTCTTCCTCTCTTTCTTCCCCGAAGCAACATGGTCTTGATGATCTCCCTCTGCACCTCGTTCTCCTTCCGAATGGTAGAGTTGGCCTCAAGCGTATCCTGCGCACTCTTTGCGAGCTCCTTGACCCTCTCGCTGCTCTTGGCGAACTTCTCCTTATACCCCTCCATCCGAGCACAAGACTTCTTCAAGTACCAATCGTAATGTTCGACCAAAAAGTTGGTACTCCCGATCATCTGCAAAATCAGGAGTTATAATGTGATCAAATAAAAAACAGGCAGAGCTGAAATTAAGGGTACCTGAGCCACACTCTACGACCAGTTAGCATATTCTCTACGACCAAAGAGATCGGTCGGTTTGGGCATGGAGTAGGGCTATCCTCCTCGGATGTTGCCCATGAGTTCCGCACACCTGCAGGGAAGTCGCGGCAAGGGATTCCTGTTTCCCATGAAGGAGTACTCGAAGTCAAAGCTGTCGGGATCTAACTCCTCCTGTCCCTCGGCCACCTCGCCCGCCGACGGATTCGCAGCTGGGACCGGGATGACAGCACTGGGAAGAGGCAAAGAGGCCTCGCTATCAGTGCGAGTCCATTTTGGGCGGACCCTTCCTTATCGTCCACTCGGACCCTCTTGCCCAAACGAGCAGCCGCAAACTCATCCTGACGAGCTGGGAGGGTATCATTACCAGACGGGGATCCAGGCTTATCTGAAACATTGACGATCGCAAGATCGTCTCCCCCCGCAAGAGAACTGCTGACTTCGATGGTCGGTGGAGGATCAACTGTGGAGGGYGCCACAGCGGTATCCCCTCGAGCCTCTTCAGC